CACACACACACACACACACACACACACACACACACACACACACACACCCCTAAACTGTCTCTCTAAAGAAAAGGAACAGAACTGGTTGGGAAATATGGGTTTAGTTTTTCAGCTTGCTACTTGGTAACAAGGATTTGAAAATTCAAAGGGCAAGTGAAAATTAGAAGGGCAAATGAAATGTAGTTCTTTAGTGAAAGAATAATTTTCCTACCTTTTTTTTTAGGTCTAATGTAGCCCTAAGTATCTGTGTATAGTTATCTGTAACTAGTTCAGGATCAATGAGAGTTTTAAAAGGAGGAGGTAGAGGGATGTTATTGATGGCATTAAGATAGTCACACCTTGAGCCTTAACTGATTCCATTAATTCTCCCTTACCACACCTTTGAAAAGGGAGAATGTCAGTAGTTTATTTTTTATGTCTTTGCTCTAGGCCTAATGCTTATCCCTTTATTAGCTCAGACCTAAAATTAATAGTATACTTTTATAAGTAATTCCATTGGAATAGCTTTTTGAAGATGGTGTTGATGACTAATATAAATAATTTACTTGATCAAAGTTATTATTGCTCAGAACTTAAATTAGTGTTACATGATTCACTTTCCTGGGTTTTACAACATGGAGAAGTGAGGAGGTGAATCAATTCTGTTCCCAGAATACTACACTTCAATGCCAAACCACTGGTTTGCCAACAAAAACAGGGTGCTTATGGGGTCTTTGTGTTGCTGGGCGACTACACAAAATATTTTAACAAAATATTTACTATATTGATCTCATATCAATGCACATAAGTGTAGTCTTCAATAAGCATAATCTTTTTATCCAGTACAAATACACTGACATATATGCTTTAGTTTTTAAAGTGTAGAAAAGAAGAAGAGAATGTAAATGTTTAAAACCAAATGGGAATCAAAAAGGGAGGATTTCTTTTTCTTCATTTAGTTTTAAGAGAAATTGTTTAAAATAATTTTGTATTTAATACTTACATTATTTTTGAAGGAAAAGACCATTTCAGGCATGAAGAATATCATTGCTGAGATGGAACAGGCATCAAGGTAAATCATTCACTCAACAAGAATTTGAGCACTTCTTGGGGGCAAAGTACTATGTTAGGTATAAAGATAGTAGGAGACAAGGGGCTTAGTGTTACATATGAGGTGATAACTTTCTAATATTGAAAGGAGACATAAGTCTGTCTAGGGAAGTAAAAGAAAGTATGGTGTTAGCCAAGTAAAGGTAAAAAGAATAGTAAAGAACCACAGATCATGTTCAAGAGCCTCTTGAGTGGCAAGTAGGTGAGTGTGTTGGAACCCAAAGTGTTAAGAGAAGTGGTGGAAGGAAGGGCTAACTAGGCAGAGGCCTGTGGTGTAGACAAATGAGTCGTGGTTTTATCTTTTGGACAATAAGAAATCATTTTTAAAAAATTGGGGAGAGTTTTGTGTTAGAAAGATTACCCAGGCCAAAGAGATGATGATAGATTGGGGTGGATGAGTTGAGAGACAGAGGAGTGAGGTGCTTGTGAGGGGAAGAATCTAGGAGAATGCTAGGTTTCTGGCTGGGGATGAATACTGGACATTATGAAAGTATGTGGAAACATCTGATTTTCCTCTGAATTTGAAGAGCCTTTGAGACTTTCTTGTAGATATGTCTAGTAATCAGTTAAATATGAGTTTGGAGTATTAAGGAAGAGGCTGAGGTAGAGATGAGATTTCAGACTCTTCTGAAGATGGGGCTGGGAGCCATGCTATGAATAGGATTTTCTGAGAGAAGGGGTAGAGCGAGAAGAATCAGGAGAGGCTGAGAGTTAAACCCTGAGAACCATTAATTTTTAAGAGGACAGAGGACAGAGAACGAGGAACCTGCAAAGAAGACTAAGCTATAGCAGCTAGAGGTAGGATGAAGGCTTTCTTATACTTGAACATCAGAAGTTATGAAATACTTAGCAAATCATTGACTATTATGTATATTTAGCATCCCTTTTTATAGTGAAATGTGGGTAACAGAGATAAACTCCAGTGAACTATATTTAAATTTTAAATGTGTTAAAACATGGCTAAACTGTCCATCTTCTGTCTTATGAGAATTTGTTATTCTGTTTTTGGTAAAATGTCTCTTCTTATGTACTATATGATTTGTGGAATAGACAGTCTACCGAAGCCCTAATTATGTGTGAACAAGACATTTCCAGAATGCGTCGGCAATTGGATGAAACAAATGATGAGCTCGCTCAGATTGCCAGGGAAAGAGATATCTTGGCTCATGAGAATGACAATCTCCAAGAACAGTTTTCTAAAGCTAAACAAGAAAACCAGGTATACTTTTACCTAGAATCTTTTTTTCCTCCAAGAAAATTTTTTGTTTTATTCTGAGACACAGTCCTCATTTCATTTTGTAGAAGAGCTCAGGCTTTGGAATCAGCCATTTTTTTAAACTTTATTACACAGAATATGTCACATAATTTCTAAATGAGATTCTCAGACATGAAGTATTAGAGAGAGTGGTGATATAATAGATTTATATTAAACCTTAGGAAGTACTTTCTTACTTGAGAATAAATATTTGAACAAATCAACAAAGGAAGATAAAAGCCTTCAGAAACTTTTGAGAGAGGGGTAGATTTATTTGATGGACTATTATTCTGTTTAAGTATGAGTGTATGGACCATGCCACATATTTTGGTCCTCTCTAGCATGTGATTCTTTGGGAAATTTTCTTTTATAATTACTCCCTCTTTAAGCCAATATATTTCAGTGTATCCACTCTTTTTATTTCCAATATCATTATTTTAATTTGAACATTAAAAACTTTTTGGAAGATTTCTTACCCCCCTTAAAATGACTTAGTCTAAATGATTCCTCCCACTTGCTGTCACTCTCAATGTGTTTAGTTTTAATTTACATAAACAGATATAAAGCTGCAATGCTTTGTTAATTATAAAAAAAAAATTGCCGAGATGTTAAAATACTGTGGTCAAAAGTTAATGAGGGGCATGTGGGTGCCTCAGTCAGTTAAGCGTCCGACTGACTTGATTTTGGCTCTGGTCATGATCTCACAGTGGTGAGATTGAGCCCAGGTGAGATTGAGCACACGTCGGGCTCCGCACTCAGCAGGGAGTCAGCTTGAGATTCTCTTTCTCCCTCTCCTTCTGCCCCCCCCCCCCGCTCACACACTCTCTGAAAATAAATAAATAAATATAAAAAAAAAAGTTAATAATGGGATCTTGGGACAGAAATGAAGTAATTTTGCATAAAATATGGACTTTAGTTAGTAATATATCAATATTGTTTCATTAATGGTGATAAATGTACCATACTGATATAAGAAGACACCAAACATAGGGTAGATGGGGACTCTGTACTATTTTCACAACTTTTCTGTAAATCTAAAACTATTCTAAAAGTTTTTTTTTAAAGTTAATGTATAGCAATAAAAACAAAGGTATGAATTTATAGTATCTACTTTTGTGTACTCATAGTTAGAGCAAATAGGCTAAAGGTAAATGTAACTTATGTTTATGAAAAACTAGATTAAACACTTTCCTTTTTACCACCCAGAATAGCTACTGTTAACATATTTTTTTTTACTGATTTTCCATGTATTTTAAATACTTTTTGTACTTTTTTAAAAAGATTTTATTTATTTTTTGACAGAGAGAGAGACAGCAAGAGAGGGAACACAAGCAGGGGGAGTAGGAGAGGGAGAAGTAGACTCCATGCTGAGCAGGGAGCCCGATGCAGGGCTCGATCCCAGGACCCGGGATCATGATCTGAGCTGAAGGCAGATGCTTAACAACTGAGCCACCCAGGCGCCTCTGTACTTTTTTTTTTTTTAAAGATTTATTTGCCAGAGAGAGAGCACAAGCAGAGGGAGTGGCAGGCAGAGGGAGAGGGAGAAGCACATTCCCCACTGATCAGGGAGCCTGATGTGGGGCTCGATCCCACGACTCTGGGATCATGACCTGAGCCAAAGGCAGATGCTTAACTGACTGAGCTACCCAGGCACCCCTACTTTTTGTACTTTTATTTACATGAACTTTTTAATGTAACTGGGATAAAAAACATGCCATTTTAAATCATCCTTTTTTCTACATGATAAGTCAGTAGATTGGAGTATTTAAGACTCATGAGTTTGAATCTCCTGCCTGTCTGGGTGATCATATCATTTAACTTCCCTGAATCTCAGTTTATATATGTAAAAATGGAGAGCAAATGAGAACATGCCTAGAAAGCACTCATCAGAGTGTCCAGCATAATCACTGGATAAATATCTTACAGCTATTATTAGCTTACTGTGACATCATAAGCACTACCCTGCTTTGTTAAAACTTCATAAACACTTTTTATAATCAGAAAAAAATTGTTACAACAATTTACATTTGTTCAATAGTAGTTTTTTCCTTTGAGTTATAGGCCCTTCTGTGGACCACAAGTTTAGAACCCATATCATAGAAAATTTGGAAAGCAGAAGCCTTTAAAAAATATTATCCTCAAAACCACAATTTTTAACAAATTGGGATGAAATATTTTTAGTGTTTTATCCTTACTTTTTTACAAAATATAGATGAACATTTTCCTCTGTTACTAAAAATTATTCTAAATATTTCTCATAGATACATAATGTTGCATGTGGTTATACCACTATGTAGATATTATTATTTACTGCATCGTTCACTTAATGTGAATAAATATTGTCACCATAACAAATAATGCCTTAGTGAACATTCTTTATGTTAAATTTTACTCGATTTAGTTTCAAATCAAATCAAAGCTTATGAGGTTTGTTTTATAAATTAAAAAAAAACCTTTCTAAGTGGACATTTTCAAAGGTAGTGAGTACTTAAGTATCTATGTCTCACCTTCGACAAGCAACATATTTGTCTTTCCTTTTTTTATGAGCATTTAAAAATGTTTCTTGAAATAGATTATAGATAGCAGATAGCAGATCATAGATTTGATTTTTGCAAATTTATGTTTACTCCAAGGTACATGGAAATGCTTATTTCTTGCTATAACAGAATAACTTTAATTCTTCACTAATTTGATAGGCAAAATAGTATTTAATTTTAAAAATTATTTAAATTTAAAATTAATATGTAAAAATTTAACATTTTAAAAAATTAAAAACTTTTTTTTTGATTACTAGTAAATTTTAACTTTTTTCAAGTATTATCTACTTGTGCTTCCTTTTTGTGAATTGTCTGCTTGGGTTCTTCGCTCATTTACTATTTTGATTTTTGTGTTTTTTGTTTTGTTTTTTTCCCTAGTGGGATGTTGGGCCTCATGTCTCCTATTATCCCACAGCCTCACCCAGATTTATTCACATGGTAATAGTTGCAGTATTTCCAAAAGCAGCAAAAAGAAAGTCCCAATAAAGAAATAATTTTCAAGCCTATATTTGTGTTATATTGTTTATTGTTCCATTAGCCAAACAAATTGTGAAGGCAAATTTAGATAGAGGTGTGGTTAATGGACTTCTACTCACTGGAAGGAGTTGCAAGGTCTTAAGGCAAAGAGTGTGATATTAAAAGGCATGAAGATTTTGGGTTTGGGGGTTTTTATGAGTTTTGTATATTAGGTATATTAACTTTCATTTATCATTATTACAAACATTTAAAATTTATGGTGGTTTTTGACAAAGAGCAATTTTTTACTTTTTTGTAGTCAAGTTTAGCTATCTTTTTCTTATAGGCCCTGTCTAAAAAATTGAATGATACGCACAATGAACTTAATGACATAAAGCAGAAGGTCCAAGATACTAATTTGGAGGTTAACAAGCTGAAGAATATATTAAAATCTGAAGTATGTATATAATTTTTTCCTTTTTGCTCATAACATCTAAGAGATTTTGCTAAAGTTATTGATCATAGGGACAGCTGAATCAAGTCTTTCCTTAATACATAGCATATTTTCGTGTTGACAATGATGCGTTGACTCTATATTTAGAATGTCACCAATGTCCAGAAAGGTAACTCAAGAATATGTCACTTTTAGTTTGCCACTCAGCTATTCTAGATAAGTAGAATCCTGCTAATTGGATGAAGGATAAAGGATAAGAATCACTTATATTTGAAAAATATAGTTTTCAGTTTACAAACCTTTGACAAAAGAGGCTCCACCTGATTGTGTAGCAGATCAGAATTGATCACCTTGTTATGGGACCATCTATTTCTTAGGACCTGAGAGTAGATGGCTCTGCTCCATACTTCTCTGTTAGTAACCATTTGACCAGACACCTGTAGCATACATCAGATAATACCAAATGAATCTGGGTATATGTGTGGCAACCATGTAATAGCTTGACCAAGGATGTTAGGTAAGCCCATTTGGTAAAATATTATCTAAACTACTGTAGTTGGGAGAGGGAGGCAAGATGGCTGAAGAGTAGGGGTCCTCATTTCATCTGGTCCCTTGAATTTAGCTAGATAACTCTCAGATCATTCTGAACACCTATGAATTCAACCTGAGATGTAAGAAAAGAATTTCTGGAATTCTACAAATAGAAAAGTGACCACTTTTTGTAAGGAAGAGGTGCAGAGAAGTGAATCGGAGGAGATATATAGTACAATAAATGGTCAGGGGGAGGGAGCCTCTATAAACTGGCTACCAGAAAGTGATATAGCCCTAGAATGCAAAATTGGAACTTTTAGAAGTCTGCCCCACTGAGAGATGCCCCTGCCTGAAAGGTGCTCATGTGGCAAAGTGGAGCAGAATCCTGGATGGGATAGTGTGGTCTCAGGATCCCTGGGGTCACAGAAAGAACGGGGGTGCCTGAGCTGGCAGAGTTCCCAAGCATTAGAGCGGGGAAACTGGCTATGGTTAGTGAGCCTGGAAGTGGGCTTGCAGCTCAGTTTGCCATAAACCACAAACTGGCAGGATGGGGCAACTGCTCTTCATGCAGGAGTCCTGCAAGTGGCAGGCCTGTGGCGACCCTCCTTTCCACAGGAGGATTGGTATGGGTGCACACAGCAGGAGTCTGCAGAGGTTGGTGCACTGAAAAGTGAAGACTGCTTTTCCCTGAGGGTTTAATGAAGAGAGGGGGCCACCATTTTTCAGGGCTGGAGATCAGGGCACTGCCATTTTTAGTTTCATCCTCTAAAGTGGCACAGAAAGCTTTCAGGGAACAAAAGCCACATAGAAGAACCCAAAGCAGCTTACACTGAGCCCAGCCCCCTGGCAAAGGGTGGTGCAACTCTGCCCAGGCAAAGACACCTGAAAAATCAGCACAGCAGGTCCCTCCCCCAGATGACCAGCAAAACATCAGGGGAGTATCAAGTTTACCAACCATGCAGTACTGCATAACTCCAATGCTAGGGAAAAATATATAGAATTTGAGGGTTTTTTTCTCATGATTCTTTTATCTTTCAATTTAAAATTTTCCTTTTCCTTTTTTCTTTTTTTCCTTTTCAACTAGTTTCTTATTTTATCAACTCTTTGTTTCTAAGTCTTCTTTAACTTTCATTTTACATTTATATTTTATAGATATATTCTTCATTTTTGGCTTCCTTTCATTGTATTCAATTTAATTTTTGTGTGTGTGTATATATATAAATAAATTTGCTTTCTTTACAATTTTGGGATTTAGTGTCTTCTAACAAACAGACCAAAATACACCCAGGACAAAGTGGATCACCCTGTTTTATCCACCTGGGATTTTATATTCTCCCCCCCTTTTTTTTCTTTTTCTTTTCTTTTTTGGATTCTGACCTCTTTGGTTGTGTCTAGTGTGTATTTTGCTTGGGTGATGGTTGATATTTTTTATTTTGTTCTCTTCATTCTTCTCTGGACAAAATGACTAGGAGGAATTCAAAACAAAGGAAAGAAACAGAGGTAATACTCTGCCACATATCTAATCAATATGGATATAAGTAAAATGTCAGAGCTGGAATTCAGGATAATGATTATAAAGTTACTAGCTGGGTTTGAAAAAAGCATAAAAGACACTAGAGAATCTCTTTGTGCAGAAATAAAATCTAATCAGGCCAAAGTTAAAAATACTTTAACTGAGGTGCAATCTAAATTGGATGCTCTAACAGCTAATGTAAATGAGGCAGAAGAGAGAGTCAGTGACATAGAAGACAAGATAATGGAAAGGAAGGAAGCTGAGGAAAAGAGAAAAACAGCTAATGGACCATGAGGGGTGGCTTTGAAAAGTCAGCAATACCATAACGCGAAACAATATTAGAATTATTGAGGTCCCAGAAGAAGAAGAAAGAGAGAGAGAGAGATAGACAGAAGGTATATTTAGCAAATCATAGCTGAGAACTTCCCTAATCTGGGGAAGGAAACAGGCATTCAAGTCCAAGAGGTAGAGAGAATGCCCCCCAAAATCAATAAAAATAGATCAACACCCCAACATATAATAGTGAAGCTTGCAAATTTCAGAAATAAAGAGAAAATCCTGAAAGCAGCTTGAGGCAAGAGCTCCTTAACCTACAATGGTAGAAACAGTAGACTGGCAGCAGACCTAGCCACAGAGACCTAGCAGGCCAGAAAGGGCTGACATAATATATTCAGGGTAATGAGAAAAGCATGCAGTCAAGAATACTTTATCCAGCAAGGCTGTCATTCAGAATGGAAGGGGAGATAAAGAGCTTCCAGGATAAACAGAAACTAAAAGAATTTGTGATCACTAAACCAGTCCTGCAAGAAATATTAAAGGGGATCCTGTAAGTGAAGAGAGAGCCCAAAAGTAGCATAGACCAGAAAGAAACAGACAATCTACAGAAACAGGGGATTTACAGGTAATACAATGGCACTAAATTCATATCTTTCAGTAGTTACTCTGAATATAAATGGGCTAAATGCTTGAATCAAAAGACACAGGGTATCGGATTGGATAAAAAAGCAAGACCCATCCATATGCTGTCTATGAGAGACTCACTTTAGACCTAAAGACATCTCCAGATTGAAAGTGAAGGGGTGGAGAACCGTTTATCATGCCAATGGATATCAAAAGAGAGCTGGGCATATCAGACAAATTAGATTTAAAATCTAAGACTATAGTAACGGATGAAGAGGAATACTTCATCTTACTTAAAGGGTCTATCCAACAAGAAATCTAACAATTATAAATATTTATGCTCCTAATTTGGGAGCAGCCAGTCACATAAACCAATTAATAACCAAATTAAATAAACACATTGATAATAATACAATAATAGTACACCCCACTCACAGCAATGGGCAGATCACGTAAGCAGAAGATCAACAAGGAAACAAGGGCTTTGAATGACACACTGGACCAGATGGACTTCACAGATATATCCAGAGCATTTTATCCTAAAGCAGCAGAATACACATTCTTCTCGAGTGCCCATGGAATATTCTCCAGAATAGATCACATCCTGGATCACAAATCAGGTCTCAACTGGTACCAAAAGATTAGGGTTATTCCCTGCATATTTTCAGACCACAATGCTTTGAAACTGGAACTCAATCACAAGAGGAAATTTGGAAGGAACTCAAACACTTGGAGGTTAAAGAGCATCCTACTAAAGAATGAATGGGTCAACCAGGAAATTAAAGAAAAATTTAAAGAATTCATGGAAACAAATGAAAATGAAAATACAACTGTTCAAAACCTTTGGGATACAGCAAAGGTGGTCCTAAGAGGAAGTACATAGCAATACAAGCTTTTCTCAAGAAATTAGAAAAGTCTCAAGTACACAAGTTAACCTTACACCTGACAGAGCTAGCAAAAGTACAGCAAATAAAGCCTAAACCAAGCAGGAAAAGGGAAACAATAAAGATTAGAGCAGAAATCAGTGAAATAGAAACCAAAAGAACAGTACAACAGATCAATGAAACTAGAAGCTAGTTCTTTGAAAGAATTAATAAGATCGATAAACCCCTACCAGACTTATCAAAAACAAAAGAGAAAGGACCCAAATAAATCATGAATGAAAGAGGAGAGATCATGACCAACACCAAGGAAATACAAACTATTTTAAGAACATATAAACAACTATATGCCAACTAATTAAGCAATCTGGAAGAAATGGACACATTCCTGGAAACATATAAACTACTAAAACTGAAACAGGAAGAAATAGAAAACCTGAACAGACCGCTAAACAGCAAGGAAATTAAAGCAGTAATCAAAAATCTCCCAGCAAACAAGAGGCTAGGGCTGCAAGACTTCCCAGGGGAATTCTACCAAACAATTTATAAAGAACTGATACCTATTCTTCTGAAGCTGTTTCAAAAAATAGAAATGGAAGGAAAACTTTCATACTCCTTCTGTGAGGTCAGCATTACCTTGATCCCAAAACCAAAGACCCCACCAAAAAGGAGAATTACAGACCAATATCCCTGATGAACATGGATGCAAAAATTCTCACCAAGATACTAGCCAATAGGCTCCAACACTACATTAAAAGGATTATTCACCACAACCAAGTGGGATTTATTCCTGGGCAGCAAGGGTGGTTCAACATTCACAAATCAATCAACGTGAATACATTACATTAATAAAAGAAAGGATAAGAACCATATGATCCTCTCAGTTGACACAGAAAAAGCATTTGACAAAATACAGCATGCTTTCTTGATTAAAACTCTTCAGAGTATAGGGATAGAGGGAACATACCTCAATATCATAAAAGCCATGTACAAAAAGCCGACAGCAAATATTCTCAATGGGGAAAAACTGAGAGCTTTTCCCCTAAGGTCAGGAACATGACAGGTATGCCCACTCTCACCATTGTTGTTCAACATAGTACTGGAAGTGCTAGCCTCAGCAATCAGACAACAAAAAGAAATAAAAGGCATTCAGATTGGCAAAGAAGAAGTCAAACTCT